ATATATATATAATATATATATATATATATTTAATTCTAAAAAGATATTATAGAAAAACTAATTTATTTTATTAAATATTAAATTCTGTTTCTATAAGTAACAATTTACTAATATTTCTGAGAAAATGTCTTATCATCGTCATAAGTTTAAAACTCTAAGGCTATATAATAAAGTTATTGTAGATTTTGCATGCATATAAATAGGTATATGTGTTCATTATACTTAAAAGGGAAGATGAAATAAATGGAATTTTATGTTTACTAGATTATTCATAGATACACATACCTTGTGTGTTTTCTGATGGGATTTGCACACACTACAATGGCTTGGTTAATCTACGTACCTTTATCCAGCTCTTCCGAATGTTAACGTGCTGAAGCTCTACTGCCACAAGCATCCATTGTAGTACTGACGCTACCAGAAACAGAACAAGGGGCCAAAGAGGAGTGGCGTGTGACGTGTACATACCCTCCATCCTTGGTTTTAGCATATATTGCACACACTCGTTGAGTCGTATCAGACCGGCGATGCAGGAAAGCAAAAACACATCGACAGCAGACCACGACGCCAGGAAAGAGAACCATTTCCTTGACAACGCGTACCCACAGGGAGCAATGAAAAGAGTAAAGAAAAAAACGACAAAAAAGACTGGATTGAGTGTGTTGCAAAGCTGATAAAGACTATACTCCTTGTACTCGGACGTGATTAGGGGCGCAATACCACCCATACGGCAACGCAAACATGGCAAAAACCACGCTGGGAGCAAGCAACTAAGCATAACACAAAAGATAATGACATTGACATACCATCGCTCCTTCATAGGGGACTTACTGATTTCAGGGCGTACTTTTGTAGCGAAATTAGAATTGTCAGATGATATTATGGAAGACTCTGAAGATAGCTGCACTTCGTCTTCAAGATATAGAGGATTACAAACGTTCCATCGTGAACCTTCAGAGACTTCATCATCACCACACTGAGGACCCAAACCTCCCTCGCCGCATTTCATTAGGGTGGTGCCGCGCCGCCAAAGTCGCACTGTGTAGTTACCCAACAGTACACTTGTGATTGTAGCACCAATATATAAATAAAAGGATGGGAGTATTACAACACCCCCGAGCTCTGGAATGAAAATCCCAGGAAGCATAACATGTATCACAAACGTATCCAGAAAGGAAAATTTACCAACGTAGTCAATTATACGGAGAATTCGCGCATGAGGTCGCTGCAACACAAGTGCAAACAACAGCATACAGGTTAGTTTAACATAGGGCCAGATGTAACTGAATAGAAATAAAAAGACCGAAAGTGGTTGCATCCCGATATCCCAGAAATGACATACAGTGTCCATTAACGTGAAGCCGTAAATATGCAACTCACCGCCCAGAGAAGCATGTACAGGCGTAGTGAGATTAAACCATATGAATGCACCGGCACATGCAAAGCAGCTGATGGACAGTAGCATATCCTCGAGAATGATACGCACAACAGAGACGGGCTTCAAGGTTCCCTGGTGAACTACAGGTCTCACCCGATGCCGCATGACATTTAATATTACCAAGTACACAGTGGCAAGCGCACTGCCAATAATGTAGACCACCACAATCAGAAATGAGGGGTACGAAACAATCGACACTTTAGCGGGCATCGATACGAAAAAACGTTTATCATCTCCACCACCCTTGTCAGATGCGCTATCCACCACACCCGCAAATACGGTAGACCCAGTGTCCTTGGGAACGCTTTCGATTAGGTTGGCTATAAAGGTATTGAGATTGTCGCGAAAAATAGCTGAAGCTGAAAGGCTCATTTTGATGTTGAACAGACGACCCATATCACCTGCATTGCTTACTCGTAAATTACTCACATTGAAAATATTTGATTGCGCACTATAATTGTATGTGTTCGGTTTACAACGCAGGTCATTTAATGTCAAGTCTAATGAAAAGCCAATTCCAGCAGGAAGTACCATGATTGCTTTCGCTTCCTCAAACGTCACTCCAATGACAGGCGAGTGAAGATTCAGCTCTGCAAAAACTTCTGGCTGACCAAACACCTGACGAAGGAGTCCCACTATACCATCTAGACTGGGTTTCCAAATCGAATCGAGATTCAGAACTCCATTCGCGGGGGCACCGCTTTGTGATTCCT